TAGGCCATATATAGTTTTAGCTGTCGAAAGTTATACATTTAAGCTGTTTTCTTACGATCATTCTTCAACGCGGTGTCGTTTACTGTTGGTCCTGCTGCAGTTACGAAGATGGTGATGGAGAGAGCATCAGAACAACTCACATTCTGTAGAAATGTGAGGTGTTTACATTGGCCCAATATAGTCAACTTCCTAAGGACATGGCTCCATTGATTTCTAATGCGCATAAAGAATTATCTTACAAATCAATGTTCAACCACAGATTTACTTAACCCCACTTTCCCCTTGCACGTATTTTCGTTTAGATGGGACTATGGGAAATGATGTCAGCATTAATTGTTCACGCTCACGAGTCATGATATGTTGTTCTAGTTTGGTGACTAATGCTAGCATAACTAGAGACGATACTGAGTGACCAACACATTGATCTCAAGATAATTTACACAGAAGAACATGATAGGTAAACGTTTCCTTGGCTATCACAAACACTGTCAATACAAATTTGCCACAGAAATGATCGAGACAAAAAACTTATATGGGGACATACACCAAGTCACAGCCAGCAAACGAGACCACGTCAAAGCACAGTTGAATACGAAGAGAAAGTCATTACAAATTTTACATAAAACAAATACTGAAGTTGAAGGGTTGAGTACATATCAAGTAGTAGTAGCAGATGGAGGAGGATGCTCCATGATCGTCTTTCCTATCAATTGAACAGAAGAATCAAGGTAGGAAAGAAAATCATCCAGTCCCCACCCTTCGATCGGATCGCTAACAAACGACCACTCGATCCTGCACCCATCTCCGCCGTCCATCGCAACTAATTGCATTGTTGCAACTAAACCTGAGATTGCTCACCGTGACCTCGTAGCTCAAGGTCAACAACTTCTCTTTAGACCACTTGATGGTGGACTCATCATTATCAACAGGTGCACTTGAGTACTGGAACAGATCCGGCTGGCCAGGGACGCCCTCCACTTGGCGACACGCGGAAACCGTGGGGAACCACTTTTGTAGGTTGCAGAAATCGGCCAGGGCCAGCCAGGCTTGTTCTGGCGACATGCGTTTTAGCTCGGCGGAGGCTTTGCCTTGCCATTTGGACTGCGTCTGATATTCTTCTTCATCCATAAGAAAAACAGAGAGAATTGAAAAGGAGAAGGTGAAAAGATTGTTCGTTTTTATTAGTTCATATATATTTGTGGAAAGGCTAAAGAACGAGTCATGTGAGATTCTTTGTTTCCTCGTCAATTATTTCTTGACGGCCAAGTGCGGAACTAATTTTGTCCGACGTGTTAATTAGATTTTTCTCATATAAAAAGGGGGATCGCTGGTGACTTCATGACAACAATTTATTTTTTTGGTAGTTAAAGAAGGCTTCCAGAGACAGTTAAGTCTCCAAAATCATGCGATTCACTAGTGTCGAAATTCATGACGTTTTGTGTGAAATACAAACTTGAAATTTGTCTCCAACCACTGATTTACCCGTGATTGTTTGACATGTTAATTAGTTGAGTACTCACGAAAGGTTCTTTAACTATCGCATATTGCAACACTGTCTCGGCACAACACTGACTTCAAACTGAGATGCCAAAATCATTGTGGGGAAGTTTTCCCAAAAGAAAAAAAATCATTGTGATCCCTTCCACCAAGTCTACAAATCTAAACCCTTGAATTTTGATACAACGGCTAAAATTATTATAACTTTTAAAGGAGCCTTATGTTTTTAGTTGTTGGATTAAATTTCAAAGATCTGAATTAATTGACTCAATGGAAGGTATCCGGTAATGATCCCTTTCCTGATTGTGGTGAGGCTGCTATGTCAGATTGCAATGTTGGCATATGCCTGTTTTTTAATTGAATTGTTCCATTTGCTTTCAAAATTGTGCACCAGAAGCTTCATGCATATTTTTTCTTTTAAAAACATTGGTCATAGACTCATAATCCCCAGAACTTGAGTATAATTGGACAGATTACCCAAGGGACATGAATTCGTGCCTACCAGAGAACCTACCGGTATTTTTAAGCTTATAAACATTTTATTGACAAAATAGAAGAGAAATATCATCGATCAAAAATATAATTATATGATTACAAATGTAATAGAACAATAATACAAAATATAACCCACGCAACAACATCGAACCAAATAATAAGATACATTCGCGAGGATAAAACTTTACATCACTTTCTGATGGACTTGCAAAAGACGACGGTCCTTTGCCAAGAAGCGTTGCTATAAGACATCACGAAGATGTCCTCATAATCCTTTGCCTGACGAACAAACAACACACCACAAAAAAATTAAAAATTAAAAAAAAAATTTGACAAAGCACAAAATAAACTCTTCAAGGTATGATTCCTCAACTATGAATCTATGCCTAAACCAACAGAAAAGATAAGCTCACAAGGCCTAAGCTCTACGAGACGGACCCAACACTGTCAAGACAAACAAGATAATTGTTGTACCATCACTTGAAGTCTATGCAATGACAAGAAAACACGGCTATGAATCCCTCAAACTGCTACAACGCCCCATGAGGGAAAGACAACACCACCTATTAATGATCTTGCAATCGTCGGCAAAAACCTACTATAAGTAACCTGTAATCAACAAGCGTCAAGTTTACTCCGCATAATCCTTGATAAGCGCACAAACCACAAAATTACCACCTCAAATTTTAACAACAATTGTCGCTTTAAGATTCAGAGTTAAGCAGTAAGTCATAACCGTCGCAAAAGTTCTCGTCCTTAGAAGAGGAGGGTGACCACAACCAAATTCACAAAAACTTTCCTTGACAAAACGAGAGAGTGATCCTACCAAAAACAGAAAAGAAAAGAAAAAAAGAAAGAAAGAAAAAAAAAAAAAAAAAAAAAAAGAGAGAAGGGGTCAAGAAGGAAGCCTACATCAAGGCCATAGACTTGGGTCCGCGATGGTAGATTCTTTCTTACGGTTTCTTCAGTGGAGGAGCTCCCCATCATCGTAAACCATCAAGATTCTCAGATCGTATATGTTTATCGTATATCGTGCGGTCAGTTTTTGTCGGATATTGTTTATATTAAATTTTTAAATAAAAAAATTTACAATGATTTTTTAACGCATGATACACGATGAACGAATACGATTGAAGAATACTAGGAATCCTCACAAAGAGGATCTGGAGAGGATCCTCATTCATCGTAGATTAATGGTTTACATTGTCAATATGGATATATATAGACAGTTATGCGACACTACTTTTTTACATAACTTTCAACACAAATTTTTGTAAAGCTCACATTATTCTGCGACACTACTTTTTTACATAACTTTCGACACAAATTTTTGTAAAGCTCACATTGTATTGGATTTTAACGATTTGAATTGGTGGTGGACATGCCTTGAAGGTGTTGTAGGGTTATACAAAGAAACCCTTAACACTTTTTAATCTAATGGTCATCTAGTTTCAGATTTGATGATTTTTAGTATACATGATCTTTGAGTGAAAATTTAAAAAACAAACAATTAAGATAGTTAAAATACATTACTAAGTAAGTCCTAAAAAACATGTGCTAAAAATTATGTAAAAATATTGTGTCACGAATTTGTCCCTTACATAACTTATAATTCATTTTACGTTTCAACTTGCCCAAAAATACATAAACAAGTGACCGCTCGGAGGTGGGTTTTGTCGCGGTGTGTTTTTGATTTTGTAAAACCCCATTTTAATCTCATAATCTAATCACGTGTCTTCTAGGTCCCTCTTTGATATTTCCCAAACGGAGTGTTTAAAATTTGAAAATTCCAAAACCCATTTCTAGTCCACATTCTTAGTCGACTGAAAGGTAAAATTTAGGATAAAGTACAAAAAATTACCTTAATTATTGGTATCACAACACTTTTATACATCATCTTTTAAAATTAACAATATTATACCTCATCTTTAGAATTTGGTCCAATGTTATATCTTCCGTTACTTGGCCGTTTATTGTTCAATTAAATGCTGATGTGGCTTGATTCGGAACCTACTTTCTATTAAAAAATTATTAAAAAATAAAAAAAATTATTTAATATTTTTTAAATATTAAAATAACAATAAAAAGTAGGGATATAATATTAAAATTAAAAAAAAAACCCCTCATTTCGTCCCTCCCCTCCTCCCTCCTCCCTCCCCCCTCCCCCCTCCCTCCTCCCTCCCCCATCTTCATCTTCTTCCCCACCTGCAAATCCCAACAAAAAAAAAAAAAAAAAAACAACCCAGATCCCATCGACGGGAAGATGGTTGTGTAGAGAAGGTGGAGGATGGGTGCGGAAGAGGTTGTGGAGAATGGATGAGACTAGTGGATTTGGGGTTTGATGGGTTTTCAAAATTTTTTTTTTTTTTTCCTTCCTCCTTTTTTACCTCCTCCTCTTCTCCTTCTCCTTCTCCTTCTCCTTCTTCTTCTTCCACCGGGGGGGGGTTTGTTGATGGGTTTTCAAATTTTTTTTTTTCTTCCTCTTCTTCTTCTTCTTCTTCTTCTTCCTCCTTCTCCTTCTCCCTTCTTCTTCTTCTGCACCAAGGGAGGGGGGAAATTTTTTTTTTCTTCCTCCTTTTTTTCCTCTTCTTCTTCTTCTTCCTCATCCTCCTTCTCCTTCTTGTTCTTCCGCAGGGGGGTTGTTGGGTTTTCAAATTTATTTATTTATTTATTTATTTTTTTGGGTTTGCATGTGGGGGGAAGAAAATGAAGATGGGGAGGGGGAGGGGAGGGATGATGGATTATTTTTATTATTTATTTTTATTTATTTATTTTATTATTTAAATGTTTAAATATTTAAAAAAAAATTTAGTTTTTAATAATTTTTTAATAAAAAATCGATCCCGAATCAAGTCACGTCAGTATTTAACTAAAAAGTAAACGGCCAAGTAACGGAAGGTATAACATTGGACCAAATTCTAAAGATGAGGTATGACATTATTAATTTTAAAATATGAAATATGAAAGTATTGTGACATCAATAATTGAGATAGTTTTTTGTACTTTAACCTAAAATTTATCATAAATCGCAACGTGTTCTCCTAGCCTTTAAATAACATTGTAATTCTTCTAATAATTAGAATTCGGCTGTAGCCCTGAAAACTTGATTGAGCTTTGTTTCACACGCGGGTTTGAATCCCGGTAGTGGAAAATTTTATTGTTTATTAATTCTAATTTTTTATAACTTCCGTACATTATACAATAATATTAAATTAATTTACTTTTTTTTTATAATTTTTGTATAGTGTCATACAATATAATACAATAATGTCAATTTAATTTTACTTTTTTATCACTTTCGTATAGTGTCATACAATATAATATGATAACGTCAATTTAATTTTACTTTTTTTATTTTAAACTTTCTTATAATGTGCCAATGTGGTACAATATAATACAATAACATCAATTTAATTTTATCTTTATGTGCAACTTTCATATAGCGTGATACAACATAATACAATAATGTCAACTTAATTTTATTTTTTTATAACTTCCTTATAGTGTGATATGTCATAATACAGTAACGCAAACTTATTACTTTTTATAACTTCCTATAGTGTGATACAATAATATCAACTTGCTTGAAGACTAATTCAACATTCACCTAGAAGTAGAAGATAGAAGAGCATTCTCCATATTCTTTGCTATCAATTCAAGATAAGTTTCATAAACAGCTTGAAGATCTTCATATTTCCATCCCTCAACCGGATCACTAACGAATGACCATTCGATTATGCACCCGGTTTTGCCATCTTCACCGTTGATTGGGACTAATTGCATGGTTGCAACGTACGACTTGAACCCGAAATTGTTTTCAGTGATCTCATAGCTTAAAAAATGGTTGATTGGATCAATCATGAGGAGCTTTTCTTTGGCCCACTTGATGGTCCCGTCGTCTGGATATGGGAGAGGAGCGACGCAGTACCGGGTCACACCTGGCTGGCCGGGGACTCCGTCAACTAGGTAACATGCATCAAGGACCGGCAACCATTTGTGCAAGTTACAAAAATCAGCCAAGAGAGGCCAAACTTGTTCTGCTGCATGGCCCTTGAGCTCTCTAGAGGTTTTGCCTTTCCATTTTAATGGTGACTGGTTTTCCCCCATGACAAATAAACAAAGAGATTAAGAACAATTAGTTGTGAGAAACATGGATGAATGGATGCCTTTTTATGCATGCTAGGGTTGGCCAATGAAAGTGATGTGGGAACTGCTCAGTGCCTTGGTCGCAAATCTTTCCTTATATATATATATATATATTTTTTTTTTTTACATATATATTGGTCGGTGCCTTGGTTGGAATCTTTTTTAAGCCCCTAATAATTCACATGGCTTATATTTCTTATACTAATTTTCTGGTTCTATAGCACCTTCCCCAGTGAGCCGAAGGTTTTGAGTTTGATTTTGATTCTAATAATGCGGTCACTACAAATTTTTTGTTCTAAACTCAAGCCCAAAACAATTTAATTATATATACATATATATATGGAAATAATACATAAAATACGTGCAAGGGCTCATAGTTTAGTTAATTAATATTATTTAGCTCAAATTAGAGGTCCTAAGTTCTGTTGGAAAATAGGATCTACATCGGTAGAGCCGTTTTTGACATTTGGGGGCCCTATGCGAATTTTAATAAAAAGGCCCTCCTTATAAAAGAAAAATAATTTTTCGACATATTTATATATAATTCAACAATCAATATTAAAACTTTAATTGAAATCAACATCACACTCTTACTAATTGAATATTCTCCTATTCACTTGAAATTACAATTTAGGGTTCATGCATGAAAAATGGAGCACAACTGAAAGATAGATACATATTCGACAAAAAAAAAAAGAAAGATAAATACATAAATATGCTTGTGTTTGTGGAAGTAAATAATACACAAGTTAGTTTTTTTTATATTGCTAAAGAAAAGTGGAATAAAGTAGTATATAAGTTTTTATTGCTGGAGAAAAGTGGGAAGTTAATATATTAAGTATAAACTCCACTAACTCAATTGTAATATAGAGAAAATCATATGATGTGTTTTCTTTTGCAGTCACAAACTTTTCTATTAGATTATACTCATGTGTAATATATAGAGGATAAAATTTTTTGGGGTGCCTAGAAATTTGGGGCCTTGTATCACCACACCTTTTGCACACTCTTAATGCCCCCTCTGTAAATCGGGCAAGTGACTAAATAAATAGACAATTATAGTTAAGAGATTCAACTCATAATATATCACCGAAACTTTTTATGATAAAATCCAACACCGAATAATATGTGATTATTTTAAAACAATATCCGTCAGTTATGGATTATATTGGGCTTTTAAAAGTTATGACTTTCCTTTCTTTGAGATTATTTTTGTTTTTTTTTCTTTTAATCATAATCTGCATCAATTATCTTATTAGTTTAAAAAGTTTTCAAGCATCCCATTCCACTGTAGCACAATAAAACTAGATTGAGCTATACCGGGTTTGAGTCCCCGCAGCGGAAAACAATTTTTATTTATTTATTATTATTTAAAAGGCAAACGGTTTTATGATTTTATTTGAGATCTGAAATTATGGGGACTCTCCGGAGAACCGTATATGAAAATTTCATGTGTTAAATAAGCTTTGTAGTTCTCCTATCAGTAACATATTCTGTTGTAGTAGTGGATTTAGCATACTCATTCAACTTCGGGCGGCATCAACTTTTTTTTTTCGTATTTTGAGAGAAATGTTAAGGAGATTCACTCAAAAGTATGACTCTCCTGTAAGAAGGATGAAGTTCAAGAGTGTGATCCCAGTGAGGAAGTTATCAATGGTCAAAACAAAGCCACTTGTCAAAAGATTAAATAGGTTGTTATACATATAGTTGGTTAGTTAGAATCTGTTGCTTTGGTTAGAGGGAGTTAGTTGATATAAGAAGGTAGTTAAAGAGGAGTACTTGCTCTGCAAGTTTGGAATTAAAAACTTCTATATAAGTGAACAATGTAAATCGTATAGTTTCCCAATGAAGAAAAATATTTCTACTGATACAACTTTCTCTCATCTCCTTTATTTCTCTTCTTAAAACTGTTATTGTATCTATCTTAACATGGTATCATCGCCCGCCGATCCGGTGCTTCCGCTCAACCTCTAAAGCATTTCTTTCTCTTCTCTACCCTCTAATTTGCATCTCTCTGTGATTTTTGGCGACGGAAAACATACCAGTCGCTCAGAAAGTTGGTTTCTTCTTGTCTACCCACCAACTGTTCGATCAAATGTCTCAGTCAAAAATTGTTCACGAAATCTGCAAAATGGTCACTGTAGCTCAGTTACAGATTGTTCAGTCGCCGATTACCAGTCTTCTCTCAATCGTCTCCACTTCTGTTACAGTAAATCTTGATGATTCCAACTATCTTACTTGGAGCTTTCAGGTCCGATTGCTTCTGGAAAGTCATGGAATTACGGGATTTCTTAATAGTTCAAGAAAGTGCCCACCAAGGTTCAACGACAATTCTGAAGTTGAAGGGGTTGAAAATGATGACTACCTGGTATGGAAAATGCACGATCGTGCACTGATGCAGTTGCTCATTGCCACATTATCAACCACTGCCATTTCTTGCATCATTAGGTGCAAAAGTTCTGCTGAGATGTGGTTGAATCTCACTTAGCAATTCTTGGCTGTGACAAAAGCAACGATCTTCCAGATGAAGACAAAACTTCAGAATATCAAGACACGGTCAAAATCAATTTCTGTTTATCTCCAAAAGATTAAGGATGCAAGAGATCATCTTGCTGCAGCTGGAGTAATTTTTGATGATGAAGATATTATAATTCTTGCATTAAAAAGACTACCTGCAGAATTTAACACATTTCGATGTGTGATCAAAGGAAGGGAGAATGGGATATCTCTCAAAGACTTCAGGTCTCAGCTCCTGGCAGAAGAAGCTATCATTGATCAGTCTTTTGACAGTTCTTCTGGATTGTCCTTTGGTAGTGCCATGGTTGCTGGAATTCAATATGACAAAAGGAAATCACTTGTTCTTGATCAAGATCAACGACGGTCCTCCTCTGATCCATCTTTCAGGCACAATGGAGGATCCAGTTTTGCTAATTCCAATCATAATACTGGATCTTACAACAATGGGAGTTACCACAACTTTGGTAACTATAAGGGTAACAATTTCAGGGGCAAAGGGAGAGGCTGATTCCAATACAATTCAGGTCCCAAATTTTCCAACGGTAATCCAGGCATTCTTGGTACTTCAAAGCCATATCAATCTCACTGTCTGGATCACCCTTCTGAGATTCCTACTTGTCAAATATGCAACAAAAAAGGTAATGTTGCTGCAGATTACTTTCAAAGACATACCAACACTGCCTCGAGCTCTCATATTCAATGTCAAATCTGTTGGAAATATGGACACTTAGCTCTTCAATGCTACCACATAAGTAATTTTGCGTATCAAGGGAGGCCTCCAACCACTAATCTCAGTGCTATGCATGCCAATCATCAACCTTCAGCATCGTCTAAACAATTTTGGCTTGCAGACACTGGTGCTACATCACACATGACATCTGACTTGGCAAATTTGGACCTCTCCACTTCATTTCAAGGAACTGATACAATTACCACTGCAAGTGGTGTAGGTTTGCATATTTCCAATATTGGCATGTCTAAGTTGGTTGTTTCTCATTATTCCCTCACTCTTAAGAATGTATTACATGTTCCAAAGCTTTCTCAGCATCTGTTATCTGTTTATCAACTATACAAAGACAATAGGTGCATATTCATTTGTGATGATGTTTCTTTTTGGGTTCAGGACAAATCCACAAGGAAAATCCTACTCAAGGGGCTGTGTAAAGCTGGTTACTACCCTATACCATTCACCATTTCACATAAGCAAGCTTCACCACCTACATCTCATTCATGTTTCCTTGCAAAACCAGTTCACAAAAGCATATGGCACAAAAGGCTAGGACACACATCCAATGCAATTACTTCTGTAATTCTACATCAATCTCAAGTACTTGCATCACTAGACACATGTTCATCCATTTGTACACCATGTTTAGAGGGAAAGTTCACCAAATTACCATTTCAATTTCCTGTAAACAAATATGTACATCCTTTAGAAAAAATCCACAATGATGTATGGAGACCTGCCCCTTTACTATCCTATGAAGGATTTCGGTATTTTGTGACCTTCATAGATGATTGTACTCGTTACACATGGATTTTTCCATTAAGAAATAAATCAGAAGTATTCATGCCTATTTGAGTACACAGTTTTCTGCTATAGTTAAAATCTTTCAAAGTGATGGTGATGGTGAGTATACAAGTACCAAGTTTCACCAATTTTTAGCACAACATGGGATTTTACATCACAAATCATGTCTCTATACACCTAAACGGAATGGTTTAGCAGAAAGAAAACACAGATATATTGTAGAAACAGCAATAACCCTTCTTCAAACTGCCAAACTACCTAACCAATTTTGGGTTCATGCTTGTGCTACGGCTACTTACTTGATAAACATCTCAGGGTTTTTGGTTGTGCCTATTTTCCTTTGCTCAAACCATATAATACTTCTAAACTTCAACCTAAGACAGCAACTTGTGTGTTTTTAGGATATGCAAGTCAATACAGGGGGTTCCTATGTCTAAATATTGCCACTGGTAAAATTCAAGTGTCCATACATGTTTTATTTAATGAAGCTAGTTTTCCATACTCAACCTTCACAGTGTCACACACTTCCAAATTATCTTCTGCATCATCACGTATTACAATGCATCCACCCAAGTTACCTCCAGTCATCACATTAACAAATCAAGCATTCACACCCTCCTTTCATTCCATCTTATCTCCCACCACGGAGTCTTTGCCTATGCATTCATCTAGTGCTTCAAAATCTCTTTCTGCATCTTGAACCTCAGAATCTTTGGAAACAGGTGCATCTAGTGCTCCAGAGTTTGATTCTTTACCTGCACATGACACACCTGCATTACACATACCCTGTGCCTCTTCCCTACATCAATTGCTTCCACCTAGCTCTAGTACACAGCACCCTATCCCTGTGGATCCTGATTTCCACCCTGAGAGACTAAATGTGGTTTTGTCCATACCAATGAATGTACATCCC